CTTCGTGATAGGCGATCAGCATTTCAACAGACTATTAAAAAAAAGGGAGTGTATATTGTAAAGCCAAATACCCATGGGAATTTCACAGTGGGACAAACACATTGGTTTACCCAGTACTCACTAAACTTTCTTCTTTTCTTCACCACCACCTCCCACTCCCACATTTGGTACCTCTTTCTCCAACTTTCTCCATCCCTTAGCTAACTGAACACATCTTCCTTTTTCTGTCAGCCTATTGATCGTTCTCTTATTTCTCTTTCCTTGAACTAGCTACAATATACACATGAAAAAAATGTTTGGTTGCGGGTGGTTATAGATTATTTTCAACTTATTTATATTGAATTAGATAATATTATGAAAGCACATTGTTAAGTGATAAAACACTACACAAAATATTAGTTATATTCTGAATATAATCCCATGCCTAGCACATTGTGGTTATCCAAAATATGGTTGGCAAAAGATTCAGTAAAGCAATACGCGCTCTGTCCTTATTTTTTTAAATCATTACATTAGAACATCAAAAAAAATCAAACAAGAAATGGGGAAATGTTTGCAGCAAAAGGACAGATATGTGAATCTCCAAAACACATGAGCACATTCTTAAAAAAACCTCTCACATACACACCACAAGACCCTAATAGAGGAGGAGATAAAATAGTTAATACACATAATATGCTACTTAAAACATTTTGGTGACATTTCTCCAAACTCCTAAAATTCCATAAAATGATAGAAGGAAAAATAAAACAGTAAACCCTTGGCAATACTGGAAAACAGAGTACAATGCCATATACAAAGACAAATTTTGCTGGTCGGAATGTGAAATGGTACAACCATTTCTTAAAACAATTGGGCAGTTTCTTACAAAGTGAAATGTTTTGAGAAATATATGTTGTTGCTATTGTGTGCCATCAGGTCAATTCTGACTCAGAGTAACCCTCTAGGACAGAGTAGAACCACCACGTAGGGTTTCCTAGGCTGTAATCTTTACAGGAGCAGAACGCCACGTCTTTCTCCCACAGAGCCCTGAGTGGGTTCAAACTGCCAACCTTTCGGTTAACAGTTGAGCGCTTTACCATTGTACCACCAGGGCTCCTGAGAAATAGATACAAGATGTACTTCAGATGACAGTGAACTAACTAAAAACAGTAAAAAAAAAAAAAAAAAGGAAAAGAAAAGAAAAACCTCTGCAATCACACACGGATGTATAGCAAGGGACCACTAGATGGTAGTAGAATTTCACCAAGCCTCCACCACTCCCCATCCCATGCAGATAGTTTAGTCCTTTCTCTTTTTAATGAGATAAAACTTACATATTTTGAATTGCACATATCTTACCTATACAATTCCAAGTTGTTTTTGGAGGACCTATTTTGGAAGTTTTCAAGAATGCAGAACAAAAAGCAAAAGGGAAATTATGAGAGAAAATTTAAGAGCTAGAGATAAATCCAGTAAACAAAATATACCTTTACTAGGAATTCAAGGAGTTAATGAAGAGGAAAGAAAGGAAAAATCAAAGATATTATAAACGAAATTTCCCTAAGTTGAAGAAAGATTTGGACCTTTATTCAAAAAAGCCTAACAAACGTTGAGTAAGATTAATAGAAAAACATATATGCACATAACTTGATACATCCTGATGAAAATTCGGAAATCCAAGGGAAAAAAAAGCTCCCAAATGGAAAAATTCCATTTCAAAAGAACAAAATCAGACTAATGTTAAGTAATAAAATTACAATAATATAATAAGTAACTTTCTTTGATGTAATTCTTATTTCTGAGAACTGCAGGCTCAAGTTACAGGAAAAACAAATAAAACTTTAAATATATATATGCATATATATGGATACATATATAATAAACATAAAAATATACCTTTATTAGTAAAAGAATACATATTAAAACAATAATATCACATCTTTTTACCTGTCATATTGGCATATACTAACAAGTGTGGGCCCAGTCCCTGGAGAAGGACATCATGCTTGGTGAAGTAGAGGGTCAGTGAAAATGGGGAAGACCGTCAACAAGATGGATTGACACAGTGGTTGCAACAATGCGCTCAAGCATAACAATGGTTGTGAGGATGGTGCAGGACCAGGCAGTGTTTCTTTCTGTTGTACATGGGGTTGCTATGAGTTGGAACCGACTCGAGGACACCTAACAAGAAGTGTGGTGATACAAAGGGGCAACGAAGAGCAAGCAGATGCAATCAATCACAGTTAAAGAGGGTGTAAACAATCTTTTTTGGAGGGCTATTAGGCAATATTATCACGTTTTAAATACAATACATATGTATATATAGAATATATATATTCTATATATATCCTCTCTCTATATATATATATATATGTATATATATATATAGTCAGAGAAGCAATTTGGTAACAGCAAAACAAACCAACTATCAAACTTGAAAGGACCTAAATGGTCATCAGTATGGGACTAGTTGGTAAATTTGGGCAAGTCCATACCATGGACTCTGATAGACCTATAAAGGACCTGTGTTCACCCTATAGTCTATAAATTGAAGGCCTTGGGGGATGGGGAAAGTAGGAGGTGGAACTGTTAAAGGGACCATGGTGTTGCCATCAAGAGGGTTTTGTGTTTGGCAGTTTCACCATCTTCACCAGAACACGTCAATCAAGAAAACCAGTTTCCCAAAGGAAAGCTTAGAATGATATTAGCAGAAGAGGTGAGTAAGGATAACGAGCATCCAGAAGAACAGCTGTTCACCACATTACTGGCTGAAGGTCCTATGCGGTAAGTCTTGTTTTCACAGTGCTGGTGACAGTTGTTCCACAATGGCAGAGGGGCACTGGGGGCCTGGTGAGGGAGGGCTCCCAGGTTTGTAGAGGATGTCTGTTTGTCCTGGAAGAAGACTGCCATGAGGGCTTTCGAGGAGGCAGCAGCATTCTGGGCATGGCTTAGCAGTGAAGATTTGTCTGTGCTCCGTGTGGCATCAGCAAGGGTGGCTCAGCTTGGAGCTAGAGGATCCACTTCCAAGATCTCTCATACACATGGCTGGCAAGTAGGTGCTGTTGACTGGGAGCTCAGCCAGTTCTGAGGGCCATGAGCCTTAGCTCCTCTCCAGGAAGGATGCATGGGTCTTGGTTCCAAGAGGCAGGAAGAGGAAGCTGCCCGTTTCTTAAGGACCAGGTGGGGAAATCAGTCAGCTGTATTTTGTTGGTCAGTCATGAAAACCAAATTCAAGGGACAGGGCATGGACCCCATCTCTCAATGGAAGAAGTGATAAAGAATTTTGGGGCCACTTTTTAAAACTACCACACTAGATTTAGGAGAACCAATTTCAGTTATTTACAAATCCTCTAAAAAGCTCTGAAAGTTCAGATGTGGAGTATATGTTATACAGTGATACTCGTGAGAGTCAGAAATCAAGGGTACTGCCTTGTTTTTCTGGGTCTCAAAACGTTTCCGCCTTTGACAGGGTGCAGTCTTACCACTTTTCTATTGCTCCTTTTCATAGAAAATATTTGAGTTTTCCTTCTCTGACAGGTTTCCACCTTAAACAGATTCCAGCTTTTGCGGGTTTTACTGGATATACCTGCTGGCTTGCTACACGTGATGTCTGGCCCCATCCTTCCATTGGCACCTACACTTAAGCCAAAATTCTACCGTATTCCACATCAGAATTTTTCACTCCAACCCTCGTGCATCCCTCCCTATTTCTGGTCGAAATTCAGCTCCTAAAGATGACTTGACCAGGAGGGATTTGATCTTCGTTTGAATGTCATGTGGTAACATTTAAACCAGTCGGCTGGCCAGGTAGCTGTCTTCCCAATATCTTGACTTAGAGTTAAGTGCTTCCAGCATTGGATTTATTTGTGCAGCAGGGCAGCCTATGCGTACAATAACAATCACCAAAACAATTTAAACTATTTTTTGAAGTGTGGGGAGAAAAACGTACTATTGTCAGTACTATTTAAAAAACCCGTTGCCGTTGAGTTGACGTTACTAGTACTATAGCATGTTGGTAACCCTGGTGGCGGAGGGGTTAAGAGTTCGGCTGCTAACCAAAAGGATGGCAGTCCAATTCCACCAGGCGTTCCTTGGAAACCCTATGGGACAGTTCTACTCTGTCCTATAGGGTCGCTATGAGTCGGAATCGACTCCACGGCAACGGGTTTTGTTTTTACAGCATGTTAGACATAGCAAGGTCTACACAATCTGGACTTCAATAAAATCTTGGAAAACCTGTCTCTTCAGTGTCGTTGAAATTAGATTTCTCAGCATTTCCAGCTCGAAGCGCGATTGTGATAGTTTGCCAAGAACTCTGAGAAAGAAGAGCCACTTAAAAGGCATAAACGATGTCAGGGTGCTGGCTTACAAGACCCTTTACCTTAGCACAAAAACAGAGATGAAACGAGCCTTAGACTTCATCCAGCCCATCCAATGTAACTGAAGTTGGTTACCCCGACCCATTTCCCTACGCTTCTTCCACCTCATTGGAAGAATGGACTGCAGAAACCCCTGACACCTCCTGAGCTGTTTCATTCATTCCATAAACGTGTACACTGTCACTAACTTGTTCAAGGACACTGTTCTTCCAGTAAGCTGTTCTCTTTCACAAACCACTACAAGGCAACTTTACGTTTCGTTACCGTTGTTTGTTGTTTAAAAATAAAACAAAACAAAAAACCACAAGGCACGAGCTTCTCCACTTAGCCAGGACTTTACCGCTTTCGAGGGGTACAAAGCTTCCCCGCCTCCTTAGGTGGAAACTTCGTAAACCACGCCCTCTCCTCCAGTTTCCGCCTGGCCCTCGAGAGCAGCCGCGACCCACAATGCACCTCTGCTTACCAACACCCAACCGCCCGCGCAAGCCTTGCGCAACACGCGGTCACGTGGCCTCTCGGACCCAATGACGGAGGCCCACGCTTTCCAGACCGCCGCATGCGCTCACAGAGGAGGAGCTCGCGCGGCGCCCTGCCCCACCGCTCGGTGCTCCCGCTTTAACCATCCCCGGAAGTCCCGGCCGCCGAGGTTGCGGGTTCCTATCAAGCGTTGTTTGCAAACTGGGCCACTGGAGCGTGTCCTGATTGGCTTGCTCCGAGGCGGGGAAGGGAGTCATTAGAGACTAGGACCGCTTCCTGAAGCGCGAGGCAGGAAGTTATCTAGAACCTCTGGAGTCGTGTGGAGAAAGTGCTCGCTGCCTCATTGGTGGCGGCTAGAGCTGGCTGTGCGTCGAGAGACGGGCGGCCCGGTCCCGCCACAGCTAGGGGTCGGTTTCCATCGCGGCACCACGGCCCCCTCCTCCAGCCCCGAGCCCGGTGCGACTGCCCGGGAGACTTCAGGCTCCTTTCCGCTGCTCCAAGGGGCATCTCCCCGGGCATCGCCCGGGCCTCCAGCCGGGGGACTGGCTCGTCGCTTGAGCACCCCGGGCCGCAGTAAGGACGCTAAGAGCCCTGCGTCCTGTGCCCCTGTCTGAGCCGAGGCCCCGGTCCAGAGCGACAGCCTCGGACCTGGGCCTAGACGGATCCAAAACGCTCAGACCGGGCCCGCCCCAGACGGGGCTCTGCATCATCTCTGAGATGTCACCCACCGTCGCCCACAAGGACAGCAGTCGGCAGCGGCGGCCAGGGACGTTCAGCCTCTCTCTCGAGGTGAAGAGCGGCTCTCTGCCGCCAGACGGCTGGGATGACGGCCCGGACTCGGCAGGAGGGGAAGGGGACGGAGAAGCCCTTCTGCAGGATACCGGCCCCGGGGGCGCCTCCAGAGTCGTCCGGAGCTGCCGGGCCGAACTCAGCAGCGTGTTGCTGCTGCTCTTCCTTTACGTGCTCCAGGGCATTCCATTGGGCCTAGCGGGAAGCATCCCGCTCATTTTGCAGAGCAAAAACGTGAGCTATACGGACCAGGCTTTCTTCAGTTTTGTCTTTTGGCCCTTCAGCCTCAAATTGCTCTGGGCCCCCTTGGTCGACGCGGTCTACTTCAGGAACTTCGGTCGGCGCAAATCCTGGCTTGTGCCGACACAGTACATACTGGGACTCTTCATGATAGGTTTATCCACGCGGGTGGACCACTTGCTCGGGAACGGCGAGGGCAGGACCCCCGACGTGCTCGCGCTCACGGTGACATTCTTCTTGTTTGAATTCCTGGCCGCCACTCAGGACATCGCCGTGGACGGGTGGGCGTTGACCATGTTATCGCGGGAAAACGTGGGCTACGCGTCTACTTGCAACTCGGTGGGCCAAACTGCGGGCTACTTTTTGGGCAATGTTTTGTTTTTGGCCCTGGAATCCCCCGACTTTTGTAACAAATATTTGCGGATTCAGCCACAACCCAGGGGGATCGTTACTCTTTCAGGTAGTGTATTTAAACTGTTACGCTGTTAGATTTATTTTACGTTTATGAATCCTTTGACAAGAGTATGTGACGTGGAAGGAGAGCTCGTTGTTTAAATTACTGGAAATCATTTTATGGGAGAAGAGCCGAGGTAAGTTTTCTGTTCTGCTAAGTTGGGCTTCTTTGAAGCTGTGAGTTATTAAAGCGGAACGACTACATTGCAGCAATCCTAATTCATCGGTAACCTGCAGAGAGCAAGGAGAGGCCACCCATCAAGTAACACTAATGTGTAATGGAGAACAATTCTGAGTGCAGGGATCCATCAGCACTTGCCTAAGACGCTAATGTGGATCTGGTGGTTCCCATTTTCCCTTTGTCTTTGTCCAGTCGGGAATTCTAGCTTCATGCTTTCCGGTCCATTTCTACCCCTACTCTTGTACTAAGAGTCCTCAGCTAGCCTTCTGGTGAAGATTAATTCACTCAAACATTATTGAGTCTGCTAAGTGGCTGGTTTCCTAGAGTCTCCAGTAAATAAGGCAGAGGCTGGCACACACGAAATGGGGGAGATAGACGTTTTAGGGGAGCTCAGAGTTGCCAGCCGTTAACTGCCTATGGGAGTCAGGCTTTGCGTTGCAGAGAACATTTGACCTTATTCCTGAATGATAAGAATTCATGAAGTGGAGAATTGGCATTCCAGAATGCAGTACATCATGTGAAAATGCCTGGAGGCAGAAAAATACAAAGTACAGGACAGTCTCTGTGTTGCCTTAAGCAGTAATGGTGAGGACTGAGCTTGAGAAATGGTGGTGAAAGAAAAGGTTGTAACCAGCTTAGGAAGATTTCTTTAATTACTGTGGAAAGAGTTTAATGTTGATCCAGTAAGTAATTGGATGTAAATTCAACAGAATTTCCCCTTTCCTCTGCATGAGTAAAACACATGCCCCTGTAAGGTTTTCTGAGGGCTTTTTCCCCCAATAGCTAGAAAACAGAAGTAAGTTTACTAACGTCAGGAATATAGTAGAATCCTTAATTCTGTTAGTAATGGTGAATTTGAGTGGTTCTGTTTTGAAATTTAAACAGAGCTAAACTTCCTCTCAGCTCCCCAGTATTAGCTTGGGTATTCCCAACTGGGTAAATGTCAGGAATTTGTGTGTGAGGGAAGTGTAAGGCTTATCATATTCTGGGAGAGGGGAGCAGGGATTCACAACTGTACTACCCAGCTGCTGAAATTTAGTACACTCCCTACACACTGATAGGGCCTGTAAGGGCCCCCTGTCCGCCTCCTCAAACTGCTGATGAGCCACCACTACTGATGAAATGATTGTACTTTTTCCTCAGTTGGTTCGAGGCCAGAAATGGTTGAGAGCTATTGCTTGGTACGTAGAATGATTTGTCTCTGATACATAGACTGATTTGGCTCTGAATGTTCTGGGCCCCATTCCTGCTCTATGCATAATTTTTTGCCTAGAGGTACTTTGTGAATACATTTATCGACATCTTGTTGCTTTTTATGTGCTTGCTTTTCATTTTGTACTGGACTTGTCATATCACCAAGGAGGATTTATGAGGTGATCTATTACTTAACATGAGAAGTCTCCTTAGACAAATGAAGATTTAAGAGGCTATGGAAACTAAATTACTTACTAGCTAGATTAAGAGTTTCCTCTGAAGTATAGCATAAGAAAGACTGATAAAACATCATTCCAGAGAATGCCATTATGAGTTCAGGAGCTATTATAATTATTTCCTCTTTTAACCACAAGTGTTCCCTGATGTATGGATCAAAATTGTGTCATTGAATTTTTATTTAGACTGATTTGTTATTTTGAATAGCTGTTTGTGGAATTTGAAGTTTGTTCTCCAGGAGATTGTAAAAATAGCTTATTTTTAATTGAACTTTTTTTTAATCTGTAGTGGACTGCTGTGTTTGGTTAAGACATTTTAGTAAATTAAGAGATCCAGCATTCTCATTCTCCTTTTTATGATTGTACATATCACATTTACAGCCTTTTACTTTCAGGAACTTAGTAATAGTATAACTAAGAAAAATCAGTGGTTTTGAGGAATTTAGAGAGAATCATATTAAGGAAGTATAGTTGCTTAGCGCCGTGTGTTGGATCACTTCTATATGGCCTTTCTTGCCATGGTCTTATAACTCCCACCAGATGACTGGTTGGGACAATGCAGATGAGATGCTTATGGCCCACCAAGTGGATTGGATAGCTTGCTATTAATGCATATAAGGTGAATAGCACCCTTATGGGGGTTGTTGTTGCCATTAGGTGCTCGAGTCAGTTCCGACTCATAGTGACCCTGTGTACAACAGAATGAAACACTGCTTGGTCCTGTGCCATCCTCACAATCGTTGTTATGCTTGAGCCCATTGTTGCAGCCACTGTGTCAGTCCATCTCATTGAGAGTCGTCGTCTTTTTCACAGACCCTCTACTTAACCAAGCATGATGTTCTTCTCTAGGGACTGACCCCTCCTGATAACACATTCAAAGAATGTGAGACATAGTCTCGCCGTCCTTGCTTCTAAGGAGCATTCTGGTTGTACTTCTTCTAAGACAGATTTGTTTGTTCTTTTGGCATTCCATGGTATGTTCAATATTCTTCGCCAGCACCACAATTCAGAGGCGTCAGTTCTTCTTTGGTCTTTCTTATTCCTTATTCCTTCTGGGGGTGGGAACATACAAATAAGGTGTATGGAACCCTAATGAGGGGTCTGGTCAGTTTTGCAATCCCGCTAGTCTTAAAATGAGAAAGGGGGGATCTCACTACCGCCAGGAAGAAATGGGAGCAGAATACATCCTTTGGACCCAGGATACCTGCACTGCGAACCTTCTAGACCCAAGAGACAGAGCTGTAACACCAAAGATGGAGAGAAGCAGTAGCAGAGAAACGGCAGCAGCAGAACCAGGAGATGGGCACAAGAGGGCATAGTGGGCTTCCCAGCCTACGGAGCAATGTGATTACAATGGGTTTGTCAACCCACAGAGTGAGAGAGCTGAGCGCCTTCAGACAGGAGGCTTCCTGGTGGAGTAGGGTGCCACCGCACTTGTTGGCAGAACTAGGCTTGCCAACCCACAGAGTGAGAGAGAGCTGAGCATCATTGGAATTAGGCTTACTGGTAGAGTGGGGTGTCCCTGGGCACTTATCAGTGCAGCTAAAGAGCTTTGTAACACTTGCCTGAGCAGGGCAGGGACTGGGCTGGCCCAAGAGGCACAAGAGGACAAGAGGCTGAGGTCCAGGGAGAGGCCTGCCTCTGGGCATGGCCGAGAAGCTGTCCTGACTGAAGAACTGTATCCTGAGTCATTCCTGATCGTGAATTGTAATCTCTTACGTCCTAAGAAGCCCCATAATCGTGAGTATAGTCTGTGAGTTCTGTGTGGCCATTGCAACAAATTACCGAACCCAGCAGAGAAGTGGAGAGTGCCATGGGAGGGATGACTGGTGTCAGAATGGTAAAAAGATTGGTGAGGGGGCCAAGATGGCAGAATAGTCAGACACTTCCTGTGGTCCCTCTTACAACAAAGACCAAAAAAAACAAGTGAATTGATTGTATATAGCAATCTAGGAGCCCTGAGCATCCCAGACAAAGTTGAGAAGTTGGACTGAGTGGTAGGGAGACGGAGAGACAGTTCAGAAGCAGTAAAGACGTGCCAGACCTGACCTAGCTGGCACCCTGAAAGCTGAATCCTTTGGCGCATTTGAGCTGAGGCAAGCAGTGGCGCTCGGGAAGCGTTTTGCCACACCAGGAGACGCTGAGCGACAGAGTTTGCGTGAGCCTCCGGAGCCAGGGGGAGGGGGCGCTGGATCTGTGAAAGTTATGTGCAAGCATCGAACCTATCGTGTGGGTTCAAAATAACCCTTTCCCCCAGGACTTCTGTAAGGAAGAAGTACCTCTCTTCATCTCGTCTACCCCCTCCCTGCTCTGCTCTGGTGCCGGTCTGGCAGTGTTCAGCGGTTGCCGTGCCCCATAGGCCAGAAGTGGGACCCGTCACACCTGACCCAGTCTCCCAGCCTTGGGGAGGGAACAGACAAAAAAAAGGAGGCCGCCAGCTCCCCTAAGCTGGGAGCTCAGGGCTAACTGCATCCAAACCAGTCTCACGGCTTAAAAAAATCACCACGCCTCCTAAGCCAGCACTGCCCCTTTGCCTAGGCACAGGCATAAGGGTTCCATGGACTTTGAAGGCTTTTCACCCCTGCCTAGACCTGTGTGGGCCCATTCAACAGTGTAGGCACTCATTAGCATAATACAACAGGGTATATACCTGAAGCCTATTTTCAACTGCAGCAGCTAAGGGGGTGGCGGATTTGTGATATTTGACACCTCCCTGCCCATTAAGCAGGGTCCTCACCCACCCACATCAGGGGCCTGACGATTGGTGGCTTCACCCAATCCACTTAGCCACCCACGACAGGGGTCTGAGAATAAGTGGTGCCTCCCAGTCCTTACAGCCAACAGCATTGGATGCCAAAAGTCTGGCTGCAAAACCCACCCACCTACATGCTCTAGGGGACAGGGACACATCTTCCACCTAGGCACTTGACACCGATTTATTTGAGGAAAAATCAGATAAATTTAAAAAATGAAGAAATCCTAGGAATTATGTGGGACTCTATCAGTACCAGAACGGCGGAGGTGGGGGGTGGGGGCTGGATAACAAAATACAGAGAGAATCGTTGAAGATTTGCAGGCAGAAAACCGCCCTGATATCGTGAAAGACGAGAAGATATCTATCCAAGAAGGTCATCGAACCTACACAGGGTAGATCCCAAAAGAAAGTCACCAAGACATATTATAATCAAACTTGCCAGAACCAAAGACAGAGAATTTTAAGAGCGGCTAGAGATAAACGAAAAGTCATCTACAAAGGAGAGTCAATAAGACTAAATTCTGACTACTCAGCAGAAACCATGTGGGTAAGAAGGCAATGGGATGACATATATAAAAAGGTTGGAGAGAGGAGGTATGTCTGACCTCCGCTTTTTAGGAATCAGCCTTGGACTGAAACTG